AAAAAAAAAAAAAAAAAAAAAAATTGAAATAAAAAAATAATGTGAGATGCTCATTTAGTGGGCCTTAGAGGTGGCCAGGTCCGGGCACGGCCCGGCCCGGCCTGGCCCGTCGGGTCGACGGGCCTCAATTGGTGGGCCCATAACCGGCCCGGCAATTCCTATGGGCCGGTCCATTTGAACCGGCCCGACCCGGCGGTTCGTCGACCCGCCGGGTTAAAAAAATAAAAAATAAATAAAAAAAAAACAACTATGACCCGTCGGAAAAACCGGAACCGGCCCAGAACCGGTCCCGGCCCGGCGGGTCAAATAAAAAAAAAGGAGAACCTTAACCGGACCGCATTGGCCGCGGTCCGGTTCAAAAGCCCGCCACTATTCATTCCGGTACCGGTGTCGGATCGGTCCGGGCCGGTACCGGTTCGCGGGCCGGGCCACGGGTCGGGCCGACCCGTGGCCATGTCTGGTGGGCCTCTTTAAAAAGGGAAGAGAAAGAAAAGAAGGCAAATAAACTAAGGCTAAGAATAGGAATTTGATGGAGTACTACAGATGCATAAATGCCTAGCTAACTGAAGCCCACTCATTTATTGCTGTAATACTAATGAACCCAACAGACAAAAGTAAGAGTTTTAGCATGCTTGCAGCTTGCTAAAGTAAACTACATTGAGTTTGGGCCCTAGCTCCTTGGTGACTTTGTACACCTAACCCAGGCCCTATATGGCTATATATGACTTTATAAAATTAAATAAATGAAAAAAAAAAATAAATAAAGGAAAATAATGCATCAGTCACAACTGAGTTGAGGTAACAACTGAGAAGCATTTATAAGGCATACAGTTAACCCTGTTACCCTGCCATGCCATTATCATTGGATACCAAAATACACAGTTCTGCTCACCTGCCCACGGTGGGCAGTGCCCACCACTTTATTTTACATGAAAAACGTATTCTGAGAATACGTTTTTCAATTAAATTAATTGAAAAACGTATTCTCAGAATACGTTTTTCATGTAAAATAAAGTG